GAAAGTTACAGGAGTAGTAGAAGTGAGACAACTGGGCTGCGTAGGCTCAGGAAACAAATTACATACACAAAAGAAGGGCTCTTGGAGCTTAGGAGAGAGAAAGGCAAAGGTAACGACCCTGGGGGAAAGAGAAGGGGAAAGGAAAGGTGCAGGTATGCTCCTGAGAGGGGGAGCATGCTGATTATGATGTGTTTGTTTGTTTGTTAAATATGCTTTTATTGCCGAAACCGGTTTGGCTCAGTGGATAGAGCGTCGGCCTGTGGACTGAGAGGTCCCGGGTTCGGTTCCGGTCGGGGGCATGTACCTGGGTTGTGGGCACATCCCCAGTAGGAGATGTGCGGGAGGCGGCTGTTCGATGTTTCTCTCTCATCGATGTTTCTAGCTCTCTGTCCCTCTCCCTTCCTCTCTGTAAAAAATCAATAAAATATATTTTAAAAAAAATATATGCTTTTATTGATTTCAGAGAAGGGAGAGGGAGAGAGAGAGAGAAACATCGATGAGAGAGAAGCATTGATCGGCTGCCCCCTGTACGCCCCCACTGGGGATCGAGTCCACAACCTGGGCATGTGCCCTTAACAGGAATTGAACCATGACCTCCTGGTTCATAGGTACATGCTCAACCACTGAGCCACGCCAGCTGAACCCAATCATGATGTTTTAAAAAGAAAACTAACTGGTCACCTTCTGGGGATGACAGAGAACCAATTCATTACTTTGAAAACTGGACAAAGGAAAGAAAGATTTATCCTGCATTTCCTATATGACCTATACAACAAAATCATTCCAGCTAATATTTGAAAACAAAATTATAATGAGAATATCATTGTTACGCCATCTCCAATGAAATAACAGATCTAGACACCAAAAAACAGCTATTGGAATTTTGACAGGGGTTACACTCAATCTGTAGGTCACTTAGGAGAGTACTGCCATCTTAATATTAAGTGGAAGATGACACACTATGAGTGACACTATCAACTTTATTAGGGAAAATGCTTCTCTACAGTCGAGGCCAGTACATCTGCATGGAATCTCCCCTTAAACCCATCTACCAATAGAACTGACACAAAAGGTGGCAGTGGTAGACAGAACAGCAGGATAACCCAGTGTGACTTCTGTCCACTTTGACATGTAAAACAGTTATCTCCCCTCCTGATTTCAACAATTTTGGCGGTGTAGGGAACAGTATTATACAATAGTAAATAAAAATTTATATGACCAAAGCAGTGGGAAGACAATTTTTTCCTTGTTCAATCTGCCCACTACCCAACAGTTGCCAAAATAAATGAGAGGGAGCTAGGCAGGTTTTGGTTTTGTGATTTATAACCAAACCACAGAACTGGGACAAGGGCCTTTCACTTCTTTCACATAACTGTTTAAAACATTAACTCAGTGGAAGATGCGAAAAGTTTCCAAAAATATTCCAGGAGGGTGAGGAAGTGCTAATCATAGCATATTCAACCTTTGCCTGTTTCCCCTGTACCCAAAAATGATCTACTCCTATGGGCTTGGAAAACAGAGCCTCTACTTAGAATACCTTGTGTCTTAATTTTCCACAAACTTCTGCATTCATTTTCTCTTCCTGTTAAACCTTGGAAGGTTTATCAAACAAGGACAATCCTGACCTTTCAATATAGTAAATGTTCCTTCATGTTCCTGGCTTATGTGTTTTGGCAGTGCAGTTCTGCCACAAGTGTTGGCAGGGAACACGCAGTATTCCCATAGAAATAACATGGACCTAATAACATTGTTTCTGGCCATTGTCCTTCAGCTTAGTCTAGTGGAAGAATGTGAACCTCAGAGCTTCTACTGGAGATAAATCACAAGGTCCAGGTGAAGGGGGCTCTCGTGGTTCACCTTGGCCCAAAGAGAAAGCTGTCCCTTTGTTCCCTGAAGGGAGGAATCATGTCTAACTCTAATTTGTAATTACCCCTCATCCAGTTGTTGGCATCTCTTTTATACTCAGCCTACAGGCTTTGTTCAGTAGGTAGTGGGTAAATGTAGTGAGCAATCAGTCTCTAATCTAGAGGCCATCAAAATCATCCGTAAAACTTTCAAAAGACACAGGTCAGAAACTCTGCCCAAGATTTATTCAGCAGGTATAAGGGTGGTATCCAAGCATTTCCAGTTTAAAATATTCCATAAGCAATTCCGTTGAGAATCTCAGGTTTAAGGAACACTCCCTTCTCTACACTTCAGCTAACTCATTTCGCTTAAAAGAATAATACTGTGTGGCCATATTGGGAGAGACGGGAAGGTTTTCCTCCCTGGCCTCTAAGAGATTTAAGTCCTAAATTAGACTCAGGCCCCTCATTTTCAATTTGACTGGCGAAAAATAAGTGCCATCTTTACAACAACAGTCCTTCACATTATCCCAGCCATGTCCCTGTGCATTAATCATGTCTTACATTTTTTTTTCTGTATTTTATGAAGTTTTAAAAGCTTGCTGGTGGAGAGAATGCCCTTTCCAGGGCTAATGCCTAAAGACAGTAATCAACTTAGTTGGCAGCAGCCTCTAATATGCAAAGCAATCAGCTCCTTTAACTCTCACAGACAAAGCCAATATTACCCCTACCTAAATCATCCCAAGGCCAGGTACCAGGCAACTAGAGACCATCCCTACTGCCCAAAGCCTGCCAAAATTATTTAAACTAGCTAGTCCTTAAAAAGGTTTACCCTGCCCTGTCTTGCCTTTCTCATGGAACAAAGGCAAGACAGCTTTCTCCTAAGCTTTCCCCTCACTCCTGCTTCTGCCTTCTGGCGAAAATCTTCCTGTGGTGTGGCACGCCTCTTCTCTCCAGAAATAGAATACATTTTTCTTTCAATGGCTTTGGCCTCGCCCTGGATGGTTGGCCTCGCTCTGGCTGGTTAGAGCATTGGCCTGGGAACCAAAGGATCGCAGGTTCGATTCTCAGTCAAGGGCTCATACCTGTGGGTTCGCTCCCCATCCCCAATCAGGGCGCATGCAGGAGGCAACCAGTCGATGTGTCTCTCTCACATCGATGTCTCTCTCTCTCTCTCTCTCACCCACTTCCATTCTCTCTGAAAAGCAATAGAAAAAATATCCTCTAGTGAGGATTAGTAATAGCGTTGTCGTCACCTAGTCACCTCTATAAATTAAAATCTCACCAGTACAAATGAGACACCTTACCCCACACATTCCTCTATGCTGCCTACCACTCTTGTGCTGTCTACTTTACTCATCCATTTGGAAATCATACTACAAACTAATTTAGGTTTCCGAAACCAAGTAACAACTCCTAAATTCCTTCATACAAAAAAAGCTCTTGGAAGTTCTATTAGCATCTGACACTCGGCATCAAAATGTAGTATGGCCCAACAATTGCTCTCCTAGGTATATATACAAGAGAACTAAAAACACAACTCGCCCTGGCCGGTGTTGCTAAGTGATTAGAGTATTGGCCTGTGGACTGAAGGATCATGGGTTCGATTCTGGCCAAGGGCATGTACCTCAGCTGCAGGCTCGATCCCCAGCCCATCAGGGCACCTGCTGGAGGCAACCAGTTGATGTGTCTCTCTCACATCAATGTTTCTCTCTCTGTCTCTCCCCCTCCCACTCTCTCTAAAAATCAATGGAAAAAAATATCCTTGGGTAAGGATTCACAACAACAAAACACACACGACTTGTACATGTTCACAGCAGCATTATTTTTAAGAGCCAAAAAGCAGAAACAGCGCAAATGTCCATCAACTGGTAATAAACAAAATGTGGTATATCCATACAAGGGAATATTATCCAGCCATTAAGAGAAATGAATTGATTCGTGCTACACGAACAGGATGTTAAGTAAAAGCCAGACAGAAAAGGCCACACACTGTACGAATCCTTTTGTGTAAAATGTACAGAATAGGCAAATCCATAGAAATAGAAAGTACATTAGTCATTACTAGGGGATGAAGTTAAGGGGGACTGGGGAGTGACTGTTAATGGTACAAAGATTTCTATTTGGGGTTATAAAATGTTCTGGAATTAGACAGTGATGACGGTTGCACAACCTTGTAAACATCCTAAAAACCACTGAATCGTACACTTTAAAAGGGTTAATTTCATATGTGAATTATATATGTTTAATTTATCTTTATTGTTATATATACGTATTTTAAAAACCTCTACGTATTATCCTCTTCCCTCCAGACCTACTCTTCCTGTATTCCATTATTTCAGTGCTTGAGACCACATTCTACTCAGGTGCTTGGGCCAAAACCTAAATTGTAACAAATAACTAGGTCATGACAATTCAAACGTTTTAATATACTTCTCCATTCTCTCCACTCCACATGCTAATTCAGGCCACCCTCCTTTCTCACCTAGATTATAGCAGCCTCCTTCCTAGTGGGCCTCCAGTCTTAACGCTCCACTGCGACTAGACAGCCCTGGGCAAACTACTGCCGTGGGCAAACTACTGCCCGGATTAGGCCCGTTTGAAATGAATAAAACTAAAAAAAAAAAAAGATCGTACCCTTTTATGTAATGATGTTTACTTTGAATTTATATTAGTTCACACAAACACTCCATCCATGCTTTTGTTCCGGCCCTACGGTCCAGTTTAAGAACCCATTGTGGCCCTCGAGTCAAAAAGTTTGCCCACCCCTGATAGAACGTCCTTTAAAAACTGCCTCCAGGGTGAAGTTCAAACCCTTAATGGGATTTGTAAACTTCTTCAAATGTCGGCCCATGGCAAACCCCTCCAGCCAGGCGGGAGGCCGCATCACCTCAGCTCCAGCCGCACAGGATGACGCTCCAGCTACCGCCCACTGAGCTCCAGGCCTCCACCTGTTTGCCGCCACCTCGGGAAGGAAGCTCTCCCGCCCCGTCCGGCCCCATTTGGTGGGTCTCCAAATCCCCCTCCCTCCGTTTACTCGTCGGCTCCTCAGGCAGGTGCGGTCTGAGGGCCGCCACTGAATCGGCAAGCATTTCCTGTGTGAACAGTGGTGGACCCAAACTTCAACTCAAAACTGTGGCGTTGTCCTGAACTCACCCCGACTTCTCAACTTTTAATAGGCTTTGCCGGGCGCCACTGCACTAGCAGCTACAGACGCCGTCCAGCCTTGTGGCCACGGGGCCCTAGGACACCACGCGCACGGTGCACCGCCGCGCCGGTCTAGCAACGCCTCACGCCCTCCGGAACCACTCTTCGTTGCGCGCCCCGGCCGCAGAGGAGGACGGGAAGCAAACCTCCCGGACTGCTCTGCGCCTGCGCAGACGCAATTGTCCGCGGGGAGCCGGCGGCGCATGCGCAGGCTCGAGGCTCTCCGTTGAGAGGGTGCCGTGGCGGCGCCGGAGGTAGGAGGGGCCGGGCTTTGGGGCTAAGAGTCTGTAACGGCAAACAGGTCCAACCATCTCGGGCCTTTTTCGCTCTCCGAAGGCAGAGGACCCTTTCTCGCCCGCTTCCAGCCGCGGGTAGACGCAGGAGCCGCGCTTGGATGGAGGAGGCCGGGGCTGTCTGAAGGGAGGAGAGGTGGGGGCATCCGGATACACACGGAGTCACTGCCCGGGGGTCCGTTAGGCGATCGTAGTTCCCCGTCAGGGTCCTCGGCAGCATCTCTTCAGGTTGCGTCCCCTGCCCGTTTCCCTGGTGTTGCGGGTTGAGGGAGCGGGAGGGTCCGCCCCTCACCTGCCTATTCATTCTGGCGCCGCGGTAGGTACAGCACTGAGTAGGCACAAGTCGCCGGCTCTCTGGAAACCCGCGGTCTCCTAGGAGCCGCTACTTCCTTAAGCAAATGCCGATTGAGTACGTATCGGAGAGAGACTGTCTTAACGACAGAGATGTGGAGACAGGGCTGTGTGGAGGATGGAGCTTGCTCACCACATCCAATAGGATACAGTTCAGTTTGCTTAGCCTGACGTTCCAAGCACTGGGACCCTGACCTCAGCTTCTCCCTGAAGCCTTCCCTCCTATCCCCACCATCTCTTGGCTCTGATGATAGCAACCTCTTTGCAGTTAAACTAACAATTGTCGATCGCTTTTTCCAAGTCAGGTGCCTGTCAGCCAAGGAGAATATGAAGTAAAATAGATGAATCTGTGCCCTCCTCAAGTTTTGAGCTTAGTAAGGGACAGATAATAAGTAAGTGAATAAAAATATAAAAGCTGATGCCCTGGAACCATACTGCCTGGGTTTGATCCCAGCTCTGCCACTTCAGAAGCTGTGGGAACCTGAGCCAGCTCCTCATTCATGTGCTTGATTCCTTGCGGTAAAGAAGGGATGACAATAGATTCTAAGGAACAGGATTGTTGTAAGGATTCAATGAATTAGACTTGTAAAGCAATTGGACTGGTGCTTGACATGCAGCAAGCATTCATTCAGTATCTATTACATATGATTACAACTTGTGATAAATGCTATTGTGAAAACTGTGTGATGAAAGAAAATAATAGAGGTGGAGAGGTTGTACTTAAAGGATGAGGGGAAGCTTCTCTAAGGAGTTACATGGAAGATGTGAATGTGTCAGCCATGCTCAGTAGATTTGAGGTCTGTGTGTCTGCCCAGCTCTGGAAAACTAGATGATTAATCGTATTAACCGAACAGCGGAGATTTCGTTATTGGATCTGAAATGAACTTTCTGCCATTGAGTTGATTTTGATTTTTGAAACCCACTAAACAGTGCTGATGTAAATAATCATGCCCATAAGGCCTAACCTTTGCATTGCGCAGCATTCTAGCAACCTGAGTTTGGAGAGCTCTTACTGGGGTGAGAGGATGGGGAAAGGGGCCTTTTTTTACTTGGAAAATTGGTTGTATCAATGAAGGATGAGTCTCCTGTGTTCCTATCTTTGTTCCTGTCTCCTGAGTGTTCAAGGGCATATCATTCCCATTCTCTCTCTCTCTCTCTCTCTCTCTCTCTCTCTCTCTCTGTCATTACATTGCCTGCTGATAGAGCCTCTGATAGTTTTTCTGGATTTGGGAATCATCATGTTTTTGTGGTGACTGCCCTTCATGGAATTCATCCCCCAGATTTCAGCAAAAACAATACTCTTTCAAGATGCCCAAGGTTTTCTGCCTGTGAAAGAACATGCTTTGATAGATTTCTAGACATCCCCCCACTCCCACTCTCACACCCCTTGGGTTGGGTTGTAATGTCTTATAAGATGATGGCTCTGTGTTAATCAGGCTGTACCTGAGTATTGACAGGGGTATTGATACTCCTATACTCCACATGCTCCTGGGAGAAATGGCATAAAATGACAATATCTATCTAATTATACTTATATGCTTTTGTTTTTCCACAGATGTGGAATTAAATAAACCAAATGTTCTTTATCACCATGGAGATACTGAAGAATCACCTGAGCAACAAGTTCATATGTATTCTATCTCAGAGGCATCTATTGGACAATAAAACCTCTCAAATGTGAACTCTAACAGAGGGAAGCTTTAAAGATGCTGTTTAACACAGGCGCAATTTGAAGAAAGACATTTTAAATCATTATGGAGGGAAAAACGGTACTTTTTATTCAATTTTGCAAACTCTCCAGGTATCTCAGTGAGAATTAAAGAGGAACCCTGATGAAGCTGGGATTCCGAATGAGGCCCAGTTAGGCTCACTCTTGGACGCCCAGATTGACCCTCACTCCTCTGAAAACAAGCTTGGAAGCCTTAACACTGGTCAGATGATGGATGAGTCAGATGATGACTTTAAGGAACTCTGTGCCAGTTTTTTACAAAGGGTGAAAAAGAATGGCACCAAGGAAGTGTCAGGGGAAAGGAAGACAAAAAAGTCCTCAAACATCACTCAGCTAACAAGCAAACCAACTGCTACCAAGAGCAAAACCCTTCAAGGCCCCAGGGAGAGGAAAACTCGATCTGGTAGCCAAGCCACAAGGACAAAAAAGCAAGGGGTAGCCAAGTGGCAGGAGAGTGGACCAGCCCCCTCTGAAAATGGAGAGGGAAGTGTGCTTGCCTCTGCCGTGCTCTGGAAGAGTGCTTGGAGCACCCAGACAGGTAACCGCGCCGGAAACATTGCCAGAACTTCCACAGAGAAAACCAGAGGTGATTTGTACTATTGTAAACCAAGAGCTGGAAAATTTTCTGCAAAGGGCCATGTAGTAAATTTTTTTGGCTTTGCAAGCCATATGGTCTCTGTCACTACTCCTCAACTCCCTAGACCCGTGGTCGGCAGACTGCGGCTCGCGAGCCACATGCGGCTCTTTGGCCCCTTGAGTGTGGCTCTTCCTAAGCCTTAGGAGTACCCTAATTAAGTTAATAACAATGTACCTACCTATATAGTTTAAGTTTAAAAAATTTGGCTCTCAAAAGAAATTTCAGTCGTCGTACTGTTGATATTTGGCTCTGTTGACTAATGAGTTTGCCGACCACAGCCCTAGACAATTACTTAGTAAGTAAATGAGCTGTGTTCCAACAAAACTTCATTTACTAAAACAGGCAGCAGCCTGAGGACCATCGTTTGCCGACTCCTGTTTAAAATGATAGTCATAAAAAAATATAAGCTCTGTGTGAGTTTTCCACATGATTATGGTTGGGCCCTCTTCTCTTTCATTTCCTATTAATGTTTACATTATATAGTTGACATGAGTTACATGAACATGAAAATAATGCTGCTTCTTCCATTTTCTTGAATTCGTTCCACAGTGGGTACCATATGTTTCTGGAGAATCTTCATTCCTTCCTTTCTCCTCCAAACAACATTTTTCCTTTTTTTGGGTAGGAGGGGCAGTTTGTAGCTTTCTTACTCTCCTGCCCTTGATGTACTAAACCATATGCTCAGCATACATTCTTCATGCAAAGCTGAAAACCAGCCTTGCATAGATAATATAGCATTAGGTCTTTGGGCACCTGCATTGTGTTTCTACATTTTTCTCACCTTCACTTCCTGATTTCAATGGTATTTTTACCCAGTATAGTCAGCATGACCTCTCAGTGGAGTGGTGGTAAAGACTTGGCTCACAGAGACTATTGTAAAGCTTCAGTAATGTTGCTAAAATGTTGTTTGTCCCTCATGCTCCCTCTGAGAGTCTAGTGAAGGTATGCATGATTCCCCCAGAAAACTGCACCCCACAAATACCTGCAAAATTGATGTATAACTTCAGGGACTTCACGGATCCCCACTGGAGGCCTCTGTGGACACCAGCTTAAAGGAGAACTTCTGACCTAGAAAGATATAAATGTTTCTCATTAATATTTCTTTAATAACAGTTTAATAGATAACCATATTTTATAAAATTTATTCCTTTAAAGTATACAGTTCAGTGGTTTTAGTATGTTCAGAGTTGTGCAACCATCACCACTACCTAATTTTAGAGCATATTCATCACCCCAAAATAGACCCTGTGCTCATTAGCAGTCACTCTTCATTCCCTTTTCTGCCATAGATCTTTATGACAGGTACATTGGTATTACCATAAACAGTGAGGTTACCAACAATCAGTCCTATTCACACTTGAGAGTTAAACCTAAACTAGTTGCTAAAAGACCCCTTAGAAACTTGGGTCTGACCTGTATTCGGAGGAAGAGTCTTTTGTTTCTCCATCTAGAACAGACACATGTGAATATTTTCCTCTGCAGATGCTGCTCCTAATGGTGACTCCCAGCCTCCTCCCTGTCTGACTGCTACGGTGCCAAGTCCCTCCAAACCCCGGGCGGCTGAGATGGTCCTACAGCGAATGCAGCAGTTCAAGAGAGCAGATCCCGCACGTTTGAAACATGCTTCAGAAGGGTGCTCCTTCCAGCCTGCACTTGAGGAGAACGTTCCAAAGGACCCTCGAGAGGCGATAATGGTGGGGAACGGTATGACAGGAGTTTTCTGTCTTCCCAACAGGCGTAAGTTCTAACTCTGGAAGAAAGGGAGTAGGAAGAAACCAACCTTCATTGTGTTTCTGCTGAGGGTGGGCTCGCCTGGCTTTCTACCTTTGCCATTTCGTGTCATCTAGTCAGAGAACAAAGGGTCTCTTGGGTCATTTCTCACTCAGTTTCTTTGACAAGGTACCTCTTCCTCTTGTTCTAATTTTTAATTTTTTTCATATTGAAAATATATTACAGCAAACTCTTTATATCCTCAGCTTAAATTTAACAATTATTAACATTTTGCCATATATTTTTTATGTCTCTATAAATATATGTGCTTCTTCTGTACTATATGAAAGTAAGTTAAATACATCATGACACTT